ACTCAACAGTGCAGCTCCCCTGAATGCTGGACCGTGGGCCCCACATGTGTGTGAACCCAAAGCTGCAGAAGAAGGACCCACAGGGTGACAGTCCTGGTCTTGTCCTCATGCTCACAGCACCCAGAGGAGTGGACACCATGCAGAAGCAGAGGCACAGCAGCTGGTACAGATGTTCATGACACACACACACCAAGGGGACGTGGGATGGTTATTATGCTCCTGATTGAAACCCCTGAGGAGTACAGGAAAGATCACTCAGCAAGTCAGACCTGCTTGGCTGGAGAATGGAAAGGACAGGGGCGCAGGGCTTTTATTTTGGCGAGGTGGTAGGGGAGAGGGAGGAATTCTGCTTCCAGGGACTTGTGTGGTTTCAATCTTTCAATAACTTCTACAGAGAAAACTATGGCCTCCTCCCTCACGCCTGCGCACTGCTCTCCCTGTAGCCCCTGCAGTCCCAGGCCCAGGTGAGCTGCCTCATGAACCACCTCCTCCCCAAGGCCCTGCCACCAGCAGGGCAGCAACCACCACCTCGGTCCTGCTGTCCCCTCTCAGTCCTCACATTGCCATGGGCCAGAGCAGGACCAAGCACTTCAAGAGACCTAAGTTCTCCCTCCAGGCGACTGTCAGGCCCCGTTGTCAGCAGCAGAGAAGGGGACTGAGCAAGAGGAGGCGGAGCTGCAGGAAAAGCTCCAGCGCCCAGGTCCTGAGTGCGCATGCCCAGGGCTGGCCCAGCTGGAGCAGCAGCAGCTGGTGCTCCTGGACCTGGGGGACCTGGGAGACCTGGGGGACCTGGTGGCCTGTACCCCTGCGCCCTCCCCCTCGGGCCGCTGCTGATGGACCCCAGCCTGGCTGTGAGGGAGAGGAGGCCGCGCCTCAGGAGTCTCAGTGTTTTGGAGGCTTTGAGGTTTGCGAGGTCATGGTGACTGCGGATCCCATGACCCGGGTCGCACTGCTCCCAGAGGGCAGCGCTGGTGGGTTCAGATTCGGGCCCTCCACGAGGAGAAAAAACAGAACAGAAACCCTGTGAGAACGTGGCCGCGAAGCTGCACATGCTGAGGAAGGTGTGTGAGTGCAGTGATGGTACAGCGTCTGTGCTCAGCACAGAGGGCGTTTGGAGATGGTGGGACCGTGTTTGGGTGGGTTTCCCTCAGGGGACCTGGCTGCTGCAGGAGCATGTTGTCTGCGGGCGGTACCTGGGGTCCCCCAGAGCTACTGGAAGCGCTCAGGGCGCATGCTGTCTCCTTTGGGTCCCTGCAGCGTGTCCTGTGGGTGCCGCTGTGGGCTGTGCAGTGTGGAACTCAAAGTACATGGTTCTGTCCAAGAGCCGAGCAGGAATCATAAGCGCCTCCCAAGGGCTCATCCGAAGTTTTGGAAATAGACTCGGGCGCAGGGGTCACTCAGACGCAGGAGGCCGAGATGGAGATGGAAACCGCCCTGGAGGCCGAGGAAAGGCTGCAGAAGGCGAAAGGCGGGTCGGACCCCAGGGATAAGATGGAGGAGGCTCCTCCAGAGAGAAGGGTCAGGAAGAAAACATGCATCTGGGACTGACTTCAGCCCGTTCACCAGGAGCCCCAGACCTGCTGCAGGTCCTCTCCACGAACCCCGCTGGGGCTTTCGGACCTCAGGCTAGAACGGGGAAGCGGGGGTGGATGGCGGAGGACGCGGCCCCTTTCCCAGGGGGGGCGAGGGCCGGATCCCTCCACATTTTCTCCCGCCCGCCCCCGAAAACCGCAGTCGACCAGCACTCCTCAAAACGGGCAGCCGCCAGAGATGGTTGCATAGTGTCTGCGGTGGACCAGATGTCCAGGCCCGGACTTGGTCTTTGTCAGGGGTCCGAGAGAGAGAGAGCCAGGGATGGGGGTCGACAAGATGTCCTGGCCTGGACTTGGTCTGGGGCAGCGGTCTGAGAAAGACAGGGAAGGGCGTAGACCAGATGGCCCAGCCTGGACTTGGTCTCAGGCTGGGAAGTGGAATCACTGTGTCAAATAGGAGCTCCATTTTTAATTTTTAGGTGGAAACTCTATACTGGTTTCCATAATGGCTGCACCAGTCTGCATTGCTAATGGACCAAATAAACTGATGAACAAAAATAGACCCAGAGACATAGAAGCATGAACAGACCATGGAACCTCCGTGGGAAGGCAGGGGAGGGTCGGTGGAAAGAGATCAACCAATGAACTTGTCTACATATATGCCTAACCCATGGACACAGAGAATGGGGTGGAGAGGGCCTGGGGAGGGAATGGGAGCGAGCAGGGAGAGGATAATGGGGAGAAAAGGAGGTCCTATGCAATACTTTCAACAATAAAGATTAGAAGAGAGAGAGAGAGAGAGAGAGAGAGAGAGAGAACCTCCTCTTCATTATCTTGGCATCCAGTACCCGCCTTGCTGTCTCCCACCTCTGATTCACTCCTCACTTTCCCTCCTTAACTTCAAATGCACAAACCCAGCTACAAACGATTATTCTCCAGAGCATTTGAGGTCTTGCTCCCCAAAAGTTGTCAACTCTTTGGCTGGAATAAAATCTTATAAAACATTCTCTCCATGTTTGGACAGTTCTTACATCAACGTGTTGTCTTTACTTCATTTACCACATATGTTCATCCAGGTTTCTTCCCCGTGTGGAGAGGGGGGTGCACACACTTATTAAAACCTATTACCTCAGTCCTAACTGGTTTGGCTCAGTGGATAGAGCATCAGACTGCGGACTCAAGGGTCCCAGGTTTGATTCCGGTCAAGGGCATGTACCCTGGTTGCGGGCACATAAAAAAAATCAATAAAATATATTTAAAAGAAAAAAAACAAAAAAAAACCCTACTACCTCCACATGGTGGTGGAGGTGACTCTAAAGAGTTCACACCCTTTGGTGTGGGGATGACGCTCCAACCACTGAGGACAATCAGCCAGGGCTCCATTTGTAAATGATGGAAATTCTCCCACTTTGAGAGGCTTGGAAATAGGGCTTTTGCACATGGACAGCAGGAAGCTGAGTGAAATCTGTGGTTTCAGGAGGCAGATGTGTGCTTGTGAGAGTGGCAGCAGATTAGAGACGGGGGCTGTGGCCACAGCGTCCAGCCCAGCCTCTCCTGCCCCCTCACCTGTAGAGGTTCAAGTTTTGTGGAGGATCTGATTGAGGAAAATAACAAGGGGAATCTTTCAGCTTCAAAATAAAAGCATCATTCAATTCACATTCTTATTCCTAAACCCCAAAAGGGCAACATGGCCGATGGCAGGTGAAGGAGAGCGAGAGGAAGCCCCATCCATATGCCTCTGGGGGAGCACCCCTGGGTCCTCATCAAAACCCTGAGGAAGGAGACTCTCAATCCTGGAAGCTGCCCCCAAATGAATGGGGTCAGGGTGATGGGTCTCAGGAAAGAAGGGAAGGAAGGGGGTCAGGACGGGACCCCTTGTGGCCATCATCCTTGAGTCCTTTCCCATCTGGGGTCGCCCCTAGGAAGACAAGGTCAGGCATGCAGCCCAGTGTCCCAGCTGCACCTTATATGCAGACTCCATGCAAATGGGGCTCTCCTCCTGCTCATAAAAGGGGGCCCTTGCCCGGCATGTTGGGGAGACACCCAGAACCCAAGCACCTGAGACAGGACCCCAGCAGCTCCACCATGGACTTGGTGCCAAGCTGCGTTTTCCTCCTGATCATTTCTCAAGGTC